GGAGTCCAGAGCAGCATCAAAGCGGCCACATTCAGGTGTGTCCCCACTGCTCCCCAGTGCGCCTCAAGCAACCCTTGTTTCTATCCTTCCTCCCCACCCTCTCCCTTTTTTGTAAACTGGGGGAAGGGAGAGGGAAGCGACAGTCTTTGATCTCAGTGGAGGAAAAAAGTCTGTTCTGTTCAGGCTTTTGGCTAACACAACAAACAGTGTTTAAAATTTAACTTTGCTTAATTAATTAGTAATTCTGTTTAATGCTGTCTGATCTCCCTCCAAAAGGTATTTTGAAGCTTGAGAAGGGAACATCAAAGGGAGCCGGGTGAAGATGGTCAAGTAATGCATTTAATCTGGCAGTTGCTGGGGGTGGAGCAATGCCAGGCCGGGAGCTAATGTGGGGGAGAGCCATCATCTGGTAAACACAGCCAGCCCGCTCCCTGTGGCGTCAGGAGGGACCGGGAGCAGTTTCCAAAGAAAAGGAGTCCCCCACATGGCCCCCTGACTCGTTTGAGCTGAGCCTTGGTTTTAAGAATGCAGAGTTGACGTTTCGTTTTCTCCCGTGGCTACTGAGTATGGTTGGGCAGGTTGTGTACTGCACAAGGGTTTCCATTCACCCAGGTGAGCAGCAGCTGAAATCCAGCCTGCACCTTGCTTATCAGGGTACCCTGGTGGGGGTGGGGGCTGCCTTTACCTAAAGTCAAAGGCCAGGAGAGGACATATGTTAGGCTGTGCGGGCCTCGCAGCCTCTGTGGCGACCACTCACCTCTGCCAGAGTGAAGCAGCCATACACAATGTGTGCAAGCATGACTGTGTCCCGATAAAACTTTATTGACAAAAACAGGCAGTGGGCTGGGCTTGGGTCTTGGGGCGTAGTGTGCCAATGCTGCTCCACGGTCACCCCACAGGTATTTCAGAGCCAAGTGGGGGGCTCTGCTTCCCTCCTGCTCTGGCCCTTCCCTTCCTTCCCTCCCACCGTTTCCCGTACTTCCTTTCCTCTTTCAAATTAGCAGCATCGCCTGTCGTTACTGTGATTTGAGATTGAAGAGGGATCAGAGGGCCCTTGAAATTATGTCCCCCAAAAGATTATCTCTGGGCAAATGAGTCACTGGGATGAGCAGGAGTAAGAGACCGAGAGGCTCCGAACCTGGAGCCAAAGCCCATCTCGGCCGCAGTCTCGTTCTCTTTGCCGAGGTTCGACCCGGCAGCCTGTGGTGAGCACCGTTCTCCCGTCTCCCGCCCGCCCGTGAGCCTGACGGTGGATGGATGGATGGATGAATGGCAGTTTGTTCTGTATGGAGACAGCTGGGAGCGGGTGCTGGTGTGGCATGCTTTCAGAGGGCCCCCGAGTCCCAGCTTCTGCCTCTGGCTTTGGGGTCTGCGAGGCTTTCTGATCGGTTCTCTGGCGTCTGTTCTGGCCATTGGATAGGGGACAGTGAGAGGGTGAAAGGCCACCTTAGGTGGGGCAAGGGGGTGCTGACTGTCCTCATTCCTGGCCCCCAGGTCCCCAGTTCTACTACCCACCTGTGCCCAGCCCCATGCTGGAAGGGGTCCCCAGTGGGCGTATGGTGGTTTCCTGCGCTGGGGTGGGATGGGGGAGGACAGTAAGGCCATCCCGCTCTGTGGAGAAGACATGAAGAGCGAGACGGGCTGGGGGGATATTCCCCCTCCTTGGAGAGGAGAAGGGGAGGGGGGCGGAGGGGGACCTGCTGGACGACAGGCTCTTCATGTGCAAGGGGAGGCCGCTCCGCAGAAGGAGAGCGCGGGGACAGAGGTTTCTTTTCTTTGGGTTTTATCAAGTGGAACTTGAAAGGCAACACTGAACCTGAAGGTGGTTTTCTGATAACTTCCCTTTGAACTTGAAGTTTGGTTTCGATAAGCCTGGTTGGCTTACATCTCCAGCCAGGACCTCTGCGGAGGGAGGCAGCAGCTTTGAAGATGGAGCTGGCCTTTGTTTTTCTTTCTTCTTTTTCTTTTTCTTCTCAGCTCCCCCAGCTCCGCCCTCCAGGGTTGGGGGGGCGGTAGGTGAAAAGAGGATGTTGTAGGTCAGATAGCACTCTGGTGTCTGCAGTGGGGCAGGTTTGGGGTGGGGGATCATTTGGATCTGGGCTGTCAGCTGGGACCATGGCTCATCTACATCTTTTGCGAGGCTCAAATTTATTGAGCACTTACTGTGTGCAGGCCACGGTGCTAAGTAGGCAGTTTCCTCATTGCCGTCTCCCAGTAGCCCTGTTGGGGGGAGACCACTTCATCCCCGTGTTACAAATGACAAGACAGAGACCCAGACAAGCCAAGTGCCTAGCCCAAGGTTGCCCAGGTCAGTGGCAGAATCAGGATATGAACCCAGGATATGAGTCCAAGTGTGCCCCGTCAACCAGGACACTCGGCTGTACCTATTGGAGATGCCGGGGCTTCTGGAGCTCAGGGCTTCACTTAGTGCTGGGGACAGGGAGAGACCCGCCCCCTGACTCTCAGACAAGCCTCTAGACCTTCTTGCTCCCTTTTAAATGAGGATGACAGTAGTGCCTGCCACTTCGTGGCCTGGCGGGAGTGGCTGTGCATTGTACCCTGTGTGGTCCCGCAGGACACCAGCAGATTTGGGGTAGGGGAACCAGGGTGGCCCAGGCTGTATGCTTGGCTGCCTTTGGGTCACTGGCTAATCGCTCACCTGACTTTCCCGGGCTCGGCATGACACTGGAGCGGGCTACCTTCTGGCCATTGGGGAGGAGCAGAGATGGCAGAGAGTGGTCACTGTCGGTGGCTGTCCCCTGACAACCACCCCAACAGTGAGGATGCCCAGTGCCCCCCACTCCGGAGGTCTTCAAGGAGCCAGGTCTTCTTTTTGGTTTGTCCTCATTGGCCTCATTCTGTGAAGGCACCAGGAGGGACCTGGGCTCTTTGACTGAGATGGGGGTCTCTAGCCAGAGCCTCTGACAGCTCGAGGGAGTTGCTGCCTTGCTGTGGGGCTTTGCCAGCTGGGTGTGCCGGGGCGAAGAGAAGGAAGGAGGCACTGGGCATGGCTGCCCTGGCCCCAGGCCTAGCTGAGACTGGGGAGAAGGGAGCTGTGGACGGAGCCGGCCGTGGCCTTTGCTGCCGTGGCCCTCCTGCTCCCGCCTGCCTGGACTGCTCCCCACCCTGCGCTGCCTGTATGTGATGTGATGCTTTTGTGTCCTTTTGTATTTGGAGAAAACTTAGCTGCCAACTCTGCTGATTCCCAAAAGAGTAAATGGGGAGGGGCCGCCATTCACCTAACTGTTACTACCAATGGGTCCTGGGCTCTGGCCTTTCAGTCGTAGCTCATTGAATACACACAACAACCCTCCGGGGAGGGGACTGTTCGCATCCCCGTTTTACAGTTGGGGGAACTGAGCCATCTAGAGAAGTCACATGACCACACGCAGTACAGGGAGGCTCAGAACCCCGCAGAGTCGGAATCCTCTTTCCAGGCTGACTGAGAGAGGGACCAGGTGTCCTGCACCAAGCCAGGATCATCACAGAGGGGCCGCCCAGCATAAGCCAGCCCCATCATTTACTGACAAAGCACATAGCCTCTCTGTGGCCTCGGTTTTCCCATCTGGAAAACGGAGCTAATAATAGTAACTGCCTCACAGGGTTGTGGTGAGGACTGAGTGAGTCAGTGTTTAGTCAGCGCTGCGTTGGACCTGGTGCTGAGTGACGTCACTGCCTCACTTTTATGCACAGAGGGCACCAAGGTGTGAGGGGTACCGCAGGAAGTGCTTGAGATCATTGCTGTGAAGACAGGAGAGCTGGGGCCCAGTTCCAACTGGGGACCCCCTGCCACACTCTCCCCAGCAGCCATTCTTGGGTCCTAGTCTGCAGAGCTGGGGTGTGTGCGTGTGGTGGGGGGACATGTGAAGCCCCCCCCACTTAGTTTCCTGGCCTAGTCACCGCATTTCTCCAGGCATCCCGTTTGGGGCCACTGCCCAGGTGTCTCAGCTCCTCACGTGGCCCTCTCGGTCCATTCTCGAGTCGGGCGTCAGGGGAGGTCTCTCCAGTGGAGGCCAGGCTCCATTCGCTCATCTGTAAAAAAAGAACAGAATCGCGGTCCCAGGGCAGCTGAGGGTACCTAATGAGAGAAGAGCCGTGAACATGTTCTGGAAAAGCTTGTTTCCAGGCCAACCTGTGCCCCTTTTTCAGGCAGAGACAAAATGGGCAGAGGGGGCCACAGGAGGCTTGTGGGACATTTCAAGGTTTGATGGCACCTTATAGGCTGGGTCCCAGGTTGGGGACGATGGCTGCTACCCTGGGCTGCCCTCCTGGCACCTCTTGGGGGTCTTCATGGGACAAAAGTATCCGTAGGTCATGGGCTATCACGCCCACCCTCCCCACTGCTCCTGGAAGCACACAAAGGACCGTAACCTTTGGCGGAGGGGGAGACCCCTGAGTGAGCAGGAGCCGAATGAAAGACACAGGGTTTGTTCGCTGCTGAGGACCAAGCTGTGTGCGTACGTGCGCACCCATGTGTGTGCCGGTGGCGCATGGGCCCTTCACCAACCCCGCTGAGCTCCATTGCTGTCACTCCTCCTGACCACCCACCAACGCGCTGCACGCTGGGCCCGGGCAGGTGGCATCTTTGAGGAAGCCAAGATGTCAGCATGAAAGGCAGCGAGGCTGTGTGGCCATGACCCACTAGCTTCCTCTCCCTGCTCCAAACCACCCCTCTGCCCACATCCACCTGCCCTTTGGTCTGATACTGTGGGTGGCTGCAGGCTGCTTACCTGGGCTGTGAAGTTGGGGCAGAGAACAGAGGCCTGAGAGGCCCAATGGTCACCTCAGTGACCGGTGTGGACACACCCTGGGAGGGGGTCTCCACTGGGGTAGCCCCCGACGTTACCAGAGGCCAGAACGTGGAGCGATTTTGACCCCAGCAAATGGGCAGGGCACGAAGGGGCCCCAGCCTCCTGGGGGTCCTCCACGCAGGCCCCACAACAAAGCCACAGTGAGCGCGGTGGCCCCAAAGCCCGGCATCTCACTTACCTCCCCCGCAGTGGCCCTGCCTCCCGAGAAGACCGACGGGCTGGCCAGTGGAGATGAGAAAAGGATGGAGAAGTCGGGGGACTCCTGCCCAGGCTCCAAAAAGCAGCTGAAATTTGAGGTGAGTCTCCTTTCCTGGCCCTGGGCCCGGAGAGAAAGGTTTTCTCTTCTCTGCGGTGCTTCTCGAGGGGGAAGGTGAGGCCTGCCCACATGTGAAGGCCGCTCACCTCCTGCGTGGACGGCAGAGGGACGGCCCGGGCACAGGCGCCTGACTTCCTGGGAAGCCCAAATGGGTCTGCTTCTCGAAGGGGGCCGGCCGACTGCCTGGGACTCATCCATGGTCCATGAGGAACAGTGACCTGAGAATTCCAGGTGGTGGTGGGGGAGACGCACATGACAGGGCATGGGGGAGATAGTCACTCAACCCTGTTCCTGAACTTCAAACCCGAGCTGCCTTTGGAGCCCAGTAAAGGGGCCAGGGAGAGGGAATTAGGTAAACGCTGTGCGTGTGTGTGTGTGCACACGTGTGTGTGTGTGTGTGTGTGTGCATGTGTGTGCACATGTGTGTGTCGGGCGGGGAGCATGTGTGTGGGGTGAGTGCTGTGCCTCCTGAAACCGTGCCTCGGAGAGCAGAGTGGGCACTTGGCAGGTATCATACGGACATGTCACAACTGAGGGGAGGCTGACTTTGAACTCAGCATGGGAGACCTGCCCAAGAACTGTTGGAGGGAACTGGCTTTGAGCTGCAGAAGCGGGGGCAGGGGCACCGTGCTCGGCCTCATTCCTGCCAGTGTCCTGAGCCAGGAACCACCCCTCTGGGGGGGCAGAGCCTGTCCTCACACCATGCCAGCTGGGCATGGCAAAAGGAGTGGAGGGCGAGGCAAGACGTGGAACAGGATGGCCTGGGAGCATCTTTGCTTGTTCTCATAGAATCTTGTGGATATGAAAGGCCATTTGTAGAGTCTCTTTCCCCACGTGGCCGTCCTTTCTGCAACACTCTGGTGTTCAGCTGGCCCCTGCGTACATCCGGCCTGCAACAGAGCTCACCGCTTCCCGGCTCAGAGTCCCTAAGTTAGATACCTTGGGTCGTGGGAGCAATGATATGAAGTCATTTTTGTATTAATCATCACAGCAAAGAGAACAAGCAGCAGCGACTACCGTTAGCAGGCGTTTTCTATGTGCCAGGCAGTCGCCATGTGGCTGCCCGTTCTCACAAAGCAGACCCCGAGACAAGAAGACTAGCCGGGTGTTCCCAGGGGGCGGGGACAGGGACGGAGGGAAGCCAGTGAAGGGCGGGTCACGGCCAGGGCAGCGGGGGCGCAGTGCCTCTGGGGTCCCTCCCAGGGCTGGACACAGTGCCCTCAGACTTGTCTCTGGGGTCCCCACCCCACGCATGCAACCCAATCCTTGGCTCTTCCTTCAGGGCTGCCCCCAGACACAGAAGCCGGGTGCTTGAGCTGGGATGTTGGGGGCTGCCCCTCGCAGCTGCAGGGAGACCCAGGGGACAAGAGGTGTGCCAGTTAATGCTCCCAATAATTTTATGAAGGCAATACTGCCGTTTTCCATAATTTACATGAGGGACAGCGGAGGCACAGAGAAGACACGCCCAGGGTCGTGGACGCGCGGCTGTGCGGGGCCACACGTGGGCGGGCACCTGAGGCTGCTCGTTCTCTCCCATCTTCCAGGTCAGGCGGCCACCCTGGGAGTCACAACATGGCTTCCCCAGTTACTGGGCCCTATGTCTCCCAGCAGCTGCTAGTCCTTGGTCCAAGTTCAGTCTTTCTGAGGCCACAAAGCCCCCTCTCGGACCCGCACCCCTCATGTTTGCCTTTGAGGACCCAGCAGGGCCTGGCACCCCTGCAGGCATCTCTCCCCAAGCCAGACCTCCTCTGCCTGGCCCAGCCTCTCTCGGGCCCGTTAAGTCTTGGTCATGGCTCTCCCTTCACACAGGGCCTGGGGAGGGCAGTGGTGAGGTGGCAGCCCTGTGACCCGGCCTCCCGGTGTTCCAGCCGCTGGGTGAGTAGTCATGCCATTGTGTCATCTGTCTGTGCCCAGGAGCTACAGTGTGACGTGTCCGTGGAAGAGGACAGCCGGCAGGAGTGGACCTTCACCCTCTACGACTTTGACAACAATGGCAAGGTCACCCGCGAGGTGAGTGCCTGCCTGGCCTCCTGCCACAGCCACGCCCTCGGGCTCGGGAACATTCATCCTGGGCCTGACCACCTGACCACGGCTGCCCCTTCGCCTCCTCCTGAAGCAGGTCCTGCTCCTCAGGGCAGCTGTAACAGGAGTGGGGGGCTGGGGGGGATTTGATGGAAACACGGCTTCTGGGAGCTTCAGGAAGACTAGGAGAGGTGTCCCAGGGCTGCCCAAGGACTGGGGAGAAGTGACAGAGAGGAGGGGCCCCTGCACCAGCCGAGGCACTGCTCCCCGGTGGAACGGTGGAAAGAGCAGCCAGCAGGCAGGTGCAGAGCCCCGAGGCGCCCCCGGAGGCGCGTCCTGGTCCCCAACAGAATCCTGTCCCGCTTCCTTCTCTCTGTGGCCCAGAGCTCTGGGTGGGGGACACTTCCCACCTCAGCCAGCATGCCCAGCAGCTAGGGCGGGTGGGTACACACAGGCCCCCTTCCACCGATACAGGAATGAGCCCCCGCCTCCCCCACCACCACCCTGAGGGCTGTGCAGCGGCTCTGCTTATGGCCTCGTCACCACCTGGTGTTCCTCACCCTTCTCTCTACATGCCTGTCTCTCCCCTCAGCCCTCTGCCCTCTCCTCCCTGTGTTCCTCTCGCCCTTTCTCCATACCTGTGTCTGCATACTGAGCACCTACTGTGTGCATCTATGATGCACTAGATGTGAGAGCACGGTGGGGAGCAGCACTGATGGTTCCTAGCTGTCTAGCTCTGACAGCCTGATGAGGGAGGCGGAGCCCCAACTATTCTGGGATGATTGGAAGGTGTGCCATGTCCTGTGAGGGGAACAGCAGAGCTGTTCCACAGAGATGGTTAGGAGTGTCCCCGGAAGCCCTGAGGCGGAGGGGACGTGGGAGCTGAGCCATGCGGCGTGCCGAGCTGGGCGAGCTCTGTGGGAGACTGGTGCCGTGGCCCCTTGTTGGGAGAGACGTGGCTGCAGCTGGAGCCGGCAGGGCAGGTCCTGCGCGGGCCTGGAGGCCCTGGGAAGCGTCTGGCTTTGATTCCAGTGCCGAGGGGAAGCCAGTGGAGGCTGGAGAAGGGGCCGTGACCTGGTCTGAATGAGTGCTGTGGCCTGGGCCTGGGGGTCATCTCTTCTGCCTCCTTGTTTCTTTTCCTCTCTGACATCCTCTCCCTTCCCAAGAGGCCCTGGTTTTCAGGTGTGGGGCCTGTCACAGGTCCCTGCAGAGGTCTGAGACCAGCGTGGCTGACCCCCGCCCACCTCCCTTCCGGCATGTGAGGGCTTTGGGGCTGTTCCCAGAGAGCACTGACGCTTTGCTGTCCTGTCTCCCTGTCCCGGCTCAGGCTCAGGCTTTTCTTCTCTGCAGATGGGACAGGAGAAGCTGCCAGAGGGGAGACCTGAGGGAAACAAGGCCGTCTCTTCCTCTGGCTGTGGTTTAGGGGATGTTAGAACAGGGTCGGGGGAGAAGCTGTGAGTGACTTCTGGTCATTCAGGATTCTTTGGGATCTAAGTGACAGAAGCAGCACAAACTGCTGTGAGTAAAACAGAGGAATATACTGGTGCATGGAACAGATATTTGGTCCTGGAGGCGCTGACTTCAGGCATGGCTGGATCTAGAGGCTCCGTGGCTTCACGGGTCCATGTCCTCCATCCCTTTATTATCAGGTAGCCTCTCCCTTTGGCAGTAGCAAGATGATTACTGACAGTTAAACCTATATCCCATCCTCTTAGCATCTCTCCCAATTCAGAAGGTCAGCAGAAGTTCCAGAACCGAATTTCACTGGCTCCAAGTGAGTCACACGTCTGGCCATTTTTGTCACGGGTTTGTGCTGCTTTCAATGGCCACGTGCTCATTCCGGAGCCGGGGACTTCTCTGATACATGACGCACATTGACCGAAAGTGTGTGTGTGTGTGGGGGGGGGATGGATTTCACTTGCAAAATAAAGTCAAATATTAGGACAAGGCAATAGATTCTGAGCAGGCAAAGCCCCCAGAGGAGCCTGGGTGCTGGACAGTAGTGGAGGCAGGGGATGGCTTAGGTGACACCCCCAAGTCCCCTCCAGCTGCGATGCTTCGGGTGGGGGGTTACTGTTTTTCGGAAGCAGTGAGAAGCCACTCTGGGAATGGCAGCTGTGGTCTAGTTATCCTCAATTATCCTCACAGGGAAATGTGGTGCAGGCTAGGAACCTGGGGAGCTGAGCTGAGGTGGGCTGGCCCAGCTATTTGTTAAGGCCGCACGGGCAGCCAGGCTGGCTTCTCAAGGATGTGGTGGCACCGTGGTGTCGCCTGACACTTGCAGCGGCTGGGACGACACAGCCCCTGGCAGCTGCCTCCTTCATCCCTTTCTGGTTCAGGAACGGCTGAACCGTACACGTGTTTGCCCCCCACCATTGAGGCCTTGCAGGAACTGTGGGCAGACCCTGCTGTCTGATTCTGCGTCCCGCCCTCCTGTACCCCTTGGTAACAAGAGGAACAGCAAGGAAGTGAGGGTTTCCAAGGAGAGTGCCCCAGGCTGCCCTCAGAGAAAGCCCCCACCGGGTCCTGTCTTCCTCAAGGAGGTTGGCTCCCAGTCCAGGGAGGAACCAGCCTGGTGTCTCCCCTGGTCTATTTTTAGCCCCAAAGCCACTCCTCAAACCTGGCTGTAAACACCATTCCCCTCCCCGAGCTCTGGCCGTCAGCACACACGTTTCTGCGTGCAAGGGCAGATGGGCCCCCACCTCACTGCAGCCACAGCCCAGAGTCTGGCATCTGGGCCAACTTCCCAACTCAGAAGAAAGTACCTGTTTATCCTTCAGGCATGCGTTTGTGCAATAAACATTCACGGGCACCTACTCCTTTGTGCCAGGCTCTGTGAAGCCAACAGCGTTGATTTTCCAGCTGCGACAGCCAAAGCATGCTTTTACCTAGACCCTGAGTCAGCCGGGACCCTCTGGGATCACACACCAGGGCCCCAGGCCTGCAGTACAATGCTTGGGGGGTGATGTTAGTGGACCTCCTGTTTCCTTACCTGTAAAATGGAGATAATGACGCCTCCTTCACGGGCTTCCTAAGATGCGGAGAGGCAGGGGGCAAACGTAGCTGTGCAGAGCAGCTCCAGGGAGGAGAAGGGAGAAGACACCCCTGTGGGCCTCACCGGACGAGCTGGGGTCGCCGAGTAAGCCAGCAAGTGCTCCAACGCTGGGTCTCAAACCGGCTGCCCCCACGATCCTAATCTAGCCCCCAGATGTTCTGGCCCAGCCCCCCAGAGGGTGTTCTGAAAAATCACCACAGGCAACAAAAGTTAAAGTGGGTAAATGGGGAGCACATCAGAATTAAAAACTTCTGTGCATCAAAGGACACAATCGACAAAGTGGAAGTTCATCTGTGGACTGGGAGAAAATCTTTGCAAATTATATATCTGATAAGGGAGTGATATCCAGGATACTGTATGTGAAGGACTCCTAAAACTCAGCAACAGGAAGTGAAATAATCCAATCAAAAATGGGCAAAGGATCTTAATAGTCATTTCTCCAAAGAAGATATAAAAGTGGCCAATGAGCCCATGAAAAGATGCTCAGCATCACGCATCATTAGGGACATGCACGTGAGATCCCACCTCACACGCATTAAGATGGCTGCTATAAAAATGGACACAAAATAACATGTGTTGCTGAGGAAGTGGCAAAATTGGAGCCCTTGTGCACTATTGGTGGGAGTGTGAAAAGGTGCAGCTGCCATGAACAACAGCATGGGGTCCCTCAAAACATTTTACGTAGAATTCATACATGATCTAGCAATTCCACTGCTCGGTATATACCCCCCAAAACTGAAAAAAGGGTCTTGGAGAGATACCTGTGTACCTGTATTCATAGCAGCATTATTCACAATAGTCAAAAAGTGGAAGTAACTATGGATAAACAAAACGTGGTCTATCCATACAGTGGACTATTATTCCGCCTTAAAAAGGAAGAAAATTCTGACACATGCTACAACATGGATGAACCTTGGGGACATTATACTTAATGAAATAAACCAGTCACCAAAAGACAAATGCTGTGTGATTCCACTCAGATGAGGGGTCTAGAGTATCAAATTCATAGAGACAGAAAGTAGAATGGTGGTTGCCAGGGGCAGCAGGGAGAGGGGAGATGGGAAGTTGAAAAAAAAAAAATAAAGGTTTTGAAGAGTTAACAGAAGACCGGCTTTCTGGCTACTCTGGGATGACCCTCAGCCTGCGTTGCCATAGGGCAAGTCAGCTGAGCTGAGCGGCTGCCACCTCCTGTGGGCAGGGCCGGTGCCCCAGCTGGCCCCACACTCCCAGTCACCCCTGCACGTCCCTGCCTGGCTATGGTAGTGCTTGGTGTCCACTGCCTCAAGGACTGACGGATGGGGGATAAAGGGAGGGCTGAGCCTGTCCAGGAAGCGTTCCTGGGCAGATAATGGACCATCTGTGGCCCTGACCTAGAGAGAGTGAGTACCTTTTCCAGTGCTTTCCAACGTCAAGTCAAGCAGAAAGCCTCCACTCAGACAAACGACCTTGCAGATGCCCAGGACCAGGGGAGACCTAGTGAGGGGGACCGGGCCCACCCCTCCATCCCCATGCAGAAGTCTCTAAGATGTGTCATGGACCATAGATTGGAGACCACTGTCTGGCCGAGGGGGTAACTGAGGCCCAGGGACAAGAGGAGACTGGGCCGAGTTCTCACAGAATAGTTTATCTTTAGGGACACATTTGCTTTTCCGTTTCTCATTCAGGAGGTCCTCATCAGACCCGAGGCAGACACTGTGGATGGCCGCCCCATAGTCCCTGGCCCACTCTAAGCTCCCCTGTTGCTGTGGTGGGCAGTGCCCACCATAATAGCTTTCTTTGGTGCCTGGGAGCTGGCTCCTTTCGCTGGATGGCCTCAGAGTCCGGCCGTGAGGCCTGCCCAGGCAGCCCCATCCCAGAGGGATGCGAGTTTTCGGAGGCGACTTCCGAGGGCCCCGGGCCACTGAGCCCAACTGCCTATGGCCGTGACCTCATCCAGGCTTTTTATGGGTGTCCCCCCTTCACTCTCCCTGCTCCCTCACTCCTTCCCAGGATCCCTTCCCAAATGAAACTCTCCCTGCCACGTTTCTGCCTTAGGCTGGGCTTTGGGGAACCAGAGGGGTTCAGCGTTTCAGGTTTCACGAGGCCTGATTCCGGTTTCAAATGCACCCTGGCTGAAGCCGCGTGTGGTTTCTGCTTCCCTCCCCCACCCAGGACATCACCAGCCTGCTCCACACCATCTACGAGGTGGTCGATTCCTCCGTCAACCACTCCCCGACATCCAGCAAGACGCTGCGGGTGAAGCTCACCGTGGCCCCCGATGGGAGCCAGGGGAAGAGGAGCATCCTCCTCAATCACCCAGGTGAGGGGCGGGGGCATCCTGCGGGGAGTGCAGGGGGGTGCGAGGTGCTTCTGCTGGGAGCTACTTCGTGAATGGGTGGGCTTGGAGCGGGTCTTAGGAGAAGGGTTTGAATAGCGGGGGGATTCCGGATGGAAGGCCTGTGTGAGCGAAGCCTTGGAGGTGGGCAAGCGCGTGGCAGACGGCGATAGTCAAGGCCTGTGTTGTGATGGGCGGGGAGGTTGGGCGGAGCCTTGAAGGCCAGCAAAGGCGTCCGGGGAGGATGTAAGGAGACAGGTGGCTTCGAGACCCCTCCCTCTAGTCCTGGCTTTGAGAACCGCGCCACGGAGCCTTTGGGAAGCTGCTGGGGCCGGCTTGCCTGGCGGCTTGGCAGACCTGGGCAGCGCCAGGAGGCCGGCGGGCACAGGGGCGTGCTGCTCACCACGCTGTTTCTCGGGCGGGACTCAGACCTACAGAGCACCAGGCCCAGAGCGGAGACCAAGCCCGCTGAGGAGCTGCGGAGCTGGGAGAAGAAGCAGCGAGCCCCCCTCAGGTACCGCGGTGCGGGCGGAGGGGCAGCCCGGGCGCCTGGCACGGTGTTGAGCGCCAGCTGTGTGCCTGCGCCTGAGGGCTTCGAGCAGGAGGCGCCTGTCTGCGCTCTCTTCGTGGGGCAGCAATTTCAGAGGCTCACAAACCTCAAAACAACAAAAATCAAAACTAGAATTTTAAAAATAACTAAATGTAAGTCTACATTGCTTTATCCAAAACACTTTAGGCTGGACATATTCTGGAATTTAGCGCTCCTTGGGTTTGGAAAGGTGCCCCTGGTGTATTTCTTATGTTATATTTCGGGTCTGGGCAGCATGTGTATATTCGTGCAGGGAGATGTGTGAAGGGTCACACGGAGTTAAAGACGGTCGCTACCCTCCCATCTGGTTAGGGCAGGCTTGGCTGCCAAATGGGCTATGAAAAACCTTTGTTTTCAGGCTCTTTGGATTAAAGGATTGTGGATAAGGGGTTGTAAGTCTGCAGTTACCTTTTACCTGGTGTTATTTCTTTAATGGCAAGAAGGGAAACAAGAGGGTGGGAAGAAAAGAGAAACTGTTGAAAGTATTGCGTAAACGGTAATATAAAGTAACGGTGCTACACAGCAGTCCTGTACAGCACATGAGGTATGTGAATACCTGTTGTGAAAATGGAAAGGAAATGTCTGGAGTTTGAGAAGCACCAGCACAGGGGAGAGAGAAGGCAGTCCAAGCAGGGGACACAGCGTGATGTGGGGAGGGCGCTAACAATCCGAGGTACCCCAGCTGGCTGCAGATGTAGGGTGCTATGCTGGGGGAGGTGGATGTGGGCAGATCATGGAAGCCCATGAAGAGGAGGGCAGGGAGCCCAGAACTCCCCCGCCCCGGGGGAGAAAGGTGGCCCCTGGCAGCGCCTTCCCCCCACTCCCTCCCCATACACACAGGGACGACCTATTCTGGGCTTCGGTTACGAGTCTGCCAGCCTCAACTCCGGCGTCTCGGGCTTGTGCTGCCCACAACTGCCGGAGAACCAGGCTGGAGTTAGGCCGCCTGCCTGCAGCAGGCACATGTGGTTTGAAGCCTGGTTTTGGGGCATCCTTAAATTTTGGCCAGTATCCTCTCCTTTGCTTTGGGCCTTCGAAACAATGTCCCTGTCTCTTTCTCCCAGGAGGCTCAGGGAGGCCAGGCAGGGGTCTCTGTCTCCACGGGCAAGGGAGGAAACAGGTACAGAGTGCTGACATGACCCCTCCCATCCGCCCGCCTGCCCCAGGCCTGGAAGGAAGTTAACAAAGGGTCCACAAGTCTTTGTCCTGGTGGCTTCCCAGTAACCTGTGGGACTGCCCCCCCCACCCGCGGGGGGCCATTGCCCACCCATTCGCTTGCCTTCCTGCCACAGGTTCCAGGGTGACAGCCGCCTGGAGCAGTCTGGCTGCTATCACCATTGCGTGGATGAGAACATTGAGAGGAGAAACCACTACTTAGATCTCGCTGGGATAGAAAACTACACGTCCCAGTTTGGGCCTGGTAAGGTGGGGCGGGGAGATGGCATGGCCAGGTGGGCAGGTGGGTGGGGGTTCACCGTTCCCCCTGGGCTGGGGGAAGGTGTAGCTCTGATTGGTCAGATGTTGCAGGGGATGCCATTAAAAACATTTTTAAAAATTAAAGTATACATGCACAAAGTAAACCAAATCAAATAGCATCCGAGGGCTTATCATACAATGAAAAACAACAGTGCCGAGCTGTACCCCAGCCCACCATCCCATTCCCCTCTCGGCTGTTTCTTCCGGTGAGGACCCCCACTTCACTAAGCAAAACGCTGCTCTGTCCTTATTAGCTCTTGACATCTTAGCGCTTGCTGAGATCAATGAAAATGTAGCTCACGGAATTTCAGCCCCAATTCCATTCTTCGCTCCCCCCACCCCGTGTTTAACTCCTCTGGGGTTAACTCTATAATAAGTGTAGGAATATTCCTACCGATTTCTTTCTTGCTCCCATGACCTCAGACAGTTATCAGTCTCTGTCTCCCTCTCTTTCGCAACTCTCTCTAGGAAGGAGAATTATTTTTAAAGACCTAACAAAGACACAGTTCTTCCCACTTAGCAGAGGGCAGAGTTCCATTTCAGAATGGTTTCCTCCAAGGCAGCGGGGAGCAGTGGGAGGGGGGACTCTTGATAAAGAACAGCTGGCCTTTATCAGCCTTGGAGAGCTGGGGGTAGGGATCACTTCCGGGGCACAGTGCAGCACTGGCACACAGTAGGTGCTCATTACATATCTCTTGCATTGGTTCCTAGGCTCCCCGTCAGTGGCCCAGAAGTCAGAACTGCCCCCCCGCACCTCCAACCCCACTCGGTCTCGCTCCCATGAGCCAGAAGCCATCCACATCCCACACCGAAAGCCCCAAGGCACGGACCCAGGCCCCTTCCACTTCCTTGACACCCCATTCGCCAAGGTCTCGGAGGTCCAGCAGCGGCTCCGGGGCACCCAGGACGGGAGCAAGCACTTTGTGAGGTCCCCCAAGGCCCAGGGCAAGAGTGTGGGTGTGGGCCACGTGGCTAGAGGGGCAAGAAGCAAACCCTCTCTGGGAGCCGCCATCCCTGCGGTGTCCCCATCCGCTCACCTGGCTGCCAGCCCGGCCCTCCTCCCCACTCTGGCACCCCTCGGGCACAAGAAGCACAAGCACCGAGCCAAGGAGAGCCAGCAGGGGTGCCGGGGCCTCCAGGCGCCGCTCGCCATGGGCAGCACCGTCATGGGGCGAGACCACGTGAGGGAGCTGCCCGCCGTGGTGGTGTACGAGAGCCAGGCTGGCCAGGCGGTCCAGAGACATGAGCACCACCACCACCACGAACACCACCACCATTACCACCACTTTTACCAGACATAGGGCCCCTCCCAGAGCCCCCGCCCCCGCCATATGAAGGACCCCCCCTTCCCCGTGTCCCCAAGGCATTATTATTCTATTAATTATTGTTATTATGACGATTATTGTTATTAATAATTATTGTTACTCCACTAATATTCAGCTAGCCTCCATGTAGAAGATATATGGAAACACAGAACTAAACTTTTATTTATATGTTGTGGGGACTGCATAACTTACCCAAGAAGTGACTGTGGGTTTGGAAATGGCCTGTAGGTGTCAGAGACTCCCTGGAGCTCCCAGTTGCGGGTTCCCACGCAGGCCCACACCCTTCCCAGCCTGGGGGTGGGGGTGGGGCGGGGCCAGAGCTGTGCCCCACCCCCATCTCTTCCAGGAGAACACCCTTACCTGGCCCGGCTTCCAGAGACCCTCGAAATCTCCGAGAAGATAAACAGCTGCTACCTCTTAGTATTATTCTGATTTTGTTTTGCCCTTAACTGATTGTAATGTGCTACAAGGATTTCAGCGGACTGCAGATGCGTGACCCTCCTCGCTGTTGTTTATGTCCCAACCTAGAAACCTGAGCTGTCCTTTCTGCAGTTATTTTTCACGCCTTTCCAGTGGGATCACGCCCTTGCCCCAAACGTTCTTCCGTGCACAACGTGAAAACACACTTCTCCTTTCCCTCCTTTTCTTCTCTTCTTTAGAAAGATACACACACACACATTTAAGGACTGTCCCTGAAACCAGACTTTTCATTTTGGGGCCCTCCAGAGAGGGAACCCACCGCACAAACAAGCGTGGTTTTCCAAGGTCGGGCAATTGTGTATTGTTGGTTGTGGGAGGTGTGGAAACCTCGTGTACTACCGTTGGCAAATATATACGTACTGACGTGGTTCTCTCACAGAGCTTTCTGTATCTCTAGCTAGATGCCATCTGTCCATTTCTATGTATCTTTCTATAAATATACACTCTCAGGTACCTTTTCTGGTGTGCCGAAGTCAGTGGTTTGTGTCTCTGGTCATCTGAGCCCAGAGGTGACCCCGCGTTCCTCCTGTAGAGGCTCCTGTATCACATGTGAATAGCCGCTTGTCTTTCATCGGGGGTCCTTTCTTGGGTTTGAGATCTGACAGGTTTGGAGGGGCCTCCTAGAGTACAGAAGCTTGGAGGGACATGGGGACCGTGGCCAGAGTTGGACCCTGGAGTAGTGTCCTCTGCAGAGCAGGCTTTTGTCTGATGAGAGACTGGGAGACCAGAAAAAGGACCATTCTCAGCCAGTCGGGACCCTGTGAAAAACAGCTGACGTGCACTCGCCTGGTGTTATCTGAGGAGAGTTTAATAAAGGGAATATTTACGAAGTGCGGGCAAAGCCTCTTGAAGGACTGCAGAATCCTGGGCTCGCACCGGGGAGCCACCCCCACCCGTGCCTTGGAGGGAGGGTGGGTCGGGGGAGGGCAGCCGTCCTCGGAAGGAGCCGGGTGTGCCCTTCACTGGAGGGACGCAGCCAGCCTGTGGGGACCGCACAGGGACATGAAACCCTGGCCTCACCTTGCTCCACCTGAATCTTGTTGAGGCCTCATTGGCTGAAGCCTCTGGGAGGCGGAGGGCAGGGGAGCTGTCGATGAGGGTCTCGCAGGCACTCTTCGGGGGCAGAGAGGAGAGTGGGGCGTGAGTCTGGAGGGACACAGAAGGAAGGGGGACTCCAGCTGCCTGTCTGTTGCTCGATCCTCCAGCGGCCACCCCCTTTACCAGAGCCTCTAGTTGGGGTTCAGTGTGGTTGGTAAGGACTTATTTTTGAAGATCATGGGCTTTGTTGTTGTCACCGTATTGTTGTATCAGTGACTGGTGTGCCTGGGATTGGATTAATACAGGTAATCCTCGTGACAACCCTTTGAGGCAGCCAGTGGAAGTTTCTGAGCACGTCAGGCCCAGAGCGGTTAAATGCTTGGCTTGAGCGTACACAGCAGGCAGCCGTCTGGGATTCTAGCCCCCCCAGGACCCCTTGACCACTGAAGGGTGTAACCACTGAGCCTGGGCTTCCCTTGTTTGGGCTGGTCAATGAGCATCAACTCAACCTGATGTGAATGTAAGCAGAGTAGGGAGCTGGCTTTGAGGTGACAGGATCCAGGGTGTGAAGGAAGCTGAGACTAACTGGTTCTTGTGCCTCTTGGGGAATTTAACCCAACGTGCTCCGTGGTGGTGCGGGGCTGCTGGCTCTCTGGACAGAACAACCAGTGGACCTTCCACTAGGGAGTACCTATCTCTGGGCCAATCACTGTGGCCCACCTGGGGGTCACATGGCCAACCTGTGGCAAGGGGGAGAGGTCTGTGCCAGGAAAGGAGAGAAAGGATACTGAGCAAAGGGGAGCTCGTGGCGCCCCAGGCCCAGAATTGCTGCAACCATGGAAACAAACCAGGAATCGGGTCCAGGCAGGGAGCCTCTGTGGCCTGGTGGCTTTAGAGCGTTGGCTCAGCCTCTGAGAGGAGGTCCCATGCTGCCTTCCCCAGCCCATGCCTGTCAAGATTCTGTTCTTCCTTGGTAACTGAAATTTACTTTTAAAAACCATTTTAAAAAATAGTAACGTGTGCACATGTAAAAGATTCAAATAGCACAAAAAGGCATGCAGTAAAAAGTGCACTTCCCTTCAGCACCCCTGGCTCCCTCCACCTTCCTGGGTGCCTTCTAGGGCCATTCAGTGTGGCGAAGGGGGGGGAGCCCAGACTTCGGGGACAGGCTGTCTGGGTTCAAATCCCGACTTCCTCTCGTCGTGTGCTGTGTTTCAAGTGGTCTACTGTACCTCTCACGCCTCCGGTTCCCCTTTATAAAGGGGACTCATAAGAGACCCACCCTACAGGGTGGTTGCGAGAGAATCCAGTGACTTAAAACTGTGCCCGGCCATGGGAACACTGAAAGTGTTAGCTGCCAAGAATAAATGCATTTATATAAGGTATCTCCCCATTTAAATATTAATGTTTTTAAAAAGACTTTTCAGAGTTGCTTTAGGTTACAACCATGTCCCCTGCCCCCACACATGCATCACCTCCCCCCACTGTCAACATGACTCACCAGAGGGGTACATTTTTTACCAAGGACGAACCTACACTGACATGTCTTTGTCACCCAAAGTCCATCGTTTCCTTTAGGGCTCACTCTTGGTGTTAGACATTCTGTGGGTTTGGACACACGTGTAATCACACGAGTCCACCATTACAGGGTCGTACGGAGTATTTTCACTGCCCTAAAATCCCTCTGTGCCCCACCTGTTCATCTCTCCCCACCCCCAATTTTGTTAAGTTTTAAAATATTTCAAACTAAGTTTGAAACAGAACATTGTGTAACAGTAACTGGGAACCCACACCACCCAGATTTTACAGAGGCTGACGTTTTGCAACACTTATTTCAGATCTATTTTTTAGGAAGAAAACACTGCAGTTACTGCTTAATCCCCTTCCCGCCCCGCCCTTTTATTTTTACCCAAGGAGTAGCATAGTATTCATACTTAGGCACTCTTCCTCTGACCTCATGCGTTTGGAGATCGGCCTCCCTGGGTCATACAGCTCTGCCCACTTCTCTCTAACAGCTGGTCACTCCTGATCCCAGGCTGTCCCGGACTGCCCCACCCGCTCCTGCCCGGCCTGCGGGTTTCTCACCCTAGGCCATGGCAGGGCTCGTCTCAGCACCCACCAGCAGGAGCACGGGCAACAGAGTGGTATCGCGAAACTGCTGAACTCAAAAGGCGCATGCGATTTCAGTTTGGATGCTATTGTATATGACCTCTAGGAGAAGTTGTACCAGATAATTAGAAGTGGAAGGGAGAAGGGAGAAGGGGAGGGAGGGAGAGAGAGAGGTGGGAGTGGAAACTTGAAGGAGCCAACCACGCTCCTTGCTGAGGCTTTGGGCACATTTTCCTGCAGGCCTGGGGTGGGTGAGTTTTGTCCTGTTTGCAAATCTCCTGACACCAGTTCCAGGAGCTGTGGCTCATCTGGGGCCCAGAGAAGTTGTCGGGGAGACTGGTGGTGTGGCTTTGCTGGCCTCGCAAACGCGTGCACATCAGCACTAGCTGGTGCTACGATGTCCCATTTCTGCAGACCTGTCACTGGGCACTGAGGACGTCTGGTGTGTTAAGGCCGCCAGCGAGGTGAGGCTTGCAGCTGCCGTGGCCTGCTCTCACCTCCTGGGGAGTGTGGGGTGGGGGGCGGGGGTGCACTTCACACCCAGCCATGCCAATTATGCTTTTTGGCAAAGGAAACAGCCGGGAGCAGTTTCTTCTGCTTTCCCCCCACCTTTTTCTCTGCGTTTAGATGTCAGATCATTACTGGGCCAGAGGGAACACTCTCTTGGAGGTGGCAGAAGGAGGGAGAAGGCTGCCTGCACCTCAAGTACCATTGCTGTCAGATGCCTGCACTAATAACCCGGCTTGGGTGAGACCTGTCAGCGCGCAGGGGAATGAAAGGGTACCCCTCAGATGTGCTCAGTGCCAGCGGGCTGTGAGGCTTCCGCGCACACACACCACGCTCACCTCATTGAAGGTAGGGCTGCCTGGGGACTGCCTGCCCGGAAGGACCCTGGGCAGCCTTGTCCCGGTCCAGTCCAGCCCCAGCGTCCACTCTCCATCCTCCGTCTTTGCTCCCCGACGCGCGTGCGTAGCTGTGTGGTGCAGTCAACACAGATGGTCCAGCCACACGCTTTATTGACTCCTAAGCGCTGGGTGCCCAGGGCACCCTTCCCCAGTCATTTTTGTCACTTCCTACAGCCATGCTTTTGTTTGGGGCGCTGATCTGGCTTTTGGTCTTGTCACCTTCTCCCAAACCAGCAGGCCTCTGACCCCAGCTCATCTTCCCAGGAGCTCTTGAACGGTTTTACTGGTTACTGTGTTTCCCTGCAAAGGGCTTTCTACACCAGCTGCTTCCTCTAGCATGAGAAGGGGGTGGGGGGTGAGACCCATTTTCTAGTAGCAGACGGTGACCCTGGGGAGGACGTGGCAGAGGCTGGCCTCGACCCTCCATCTCCAGTGGACTGACCCCTGGGTTTTCGCTCCCCACAACCGTGGTGTATTCCGTCCACTGGCCTGGCAGAGACAAGAAGGGCTCTACTGTGACCCGAGACCCTCCAGGCATGACTTTGGCGTAGACCAGGCTGCTGGCGGCGGTGAGGGATGGCCGAGCAGAACTGCCGAGTTCAAGGGCATGTGTGATTTCCTTTTGGATGCTATTGCACGTGACCTGTAGAAGTTATACCAGATAAGACGGTGAAGAAAGAAGAGAGAAAGAAGCCTGTAGGTCTCAGGAGGACCTGGGGAGACTGCGCCCGGGCCTCACCTCTGATGCTGATTCGCTGATCTGAGGTGTGGCCCAGGCATCAAGCTGTCTCAAGCTCCCAGTCGACTTCCTGGGCAACTAGCCTGGGAGCCCAGAGCCTTACGTGTCCCCCAGATGACCTCAGAGGAGCCTTTGAGGAAATTCCTAACTGCAGGGGCCATAAGAATCTCTCAGGGAGCATGTTAAAGGCAGGTACCCAGGCCCACCTCAGACAGTGACATTACTTGGGTCTGGGGGTGGGAGCAGGGACCAGTGCATCTAACAAGCTCACCCCCAAGCCTTGGGGAGTCGGGGCTCGGCACTACCACTATCTGTTGTACTTGGACGTGCTATAGACCCAGGCTTGGTTCCCAGCTCATGTTCATGTTGCCCCCACGAGGGGGGGTCATGTCTGGGCAGAGCCTTCAGAGGGCCCTACCCAAACCCACATGTCCGCAGGGAAAAGGTGTGCAGGGAAGCGCCTTGGAGACTTGGAAGAAGGACTCAGGTACGAGCAGCCTGGGAGTAGCTGCCAGGGTCCCAGGACAGTGCTGCAGGAGGAGAGAAGTCCCCAGACCCCCTGGGCCATTGCTCAGATCTCAGGGTGACAAGCAGCGTGTGATCAAGGCCTTAAGGGACCCTGAGCCCTAAAAGGATTACCAGCCTCCATCCCCACCCTCACCCACAC